CTTCAAGTATATTCTTTAATCTTTTATAGTTATTGATAATTCATAGAATCAATGCCAATAGCAATAACACTGCCTTCACATTTTTTTGATGACGAACTTGGAAGAGTAGGTCACTTGGAAGATGTTTTTGTTTCCCTCTTTTATCTCATAATAATTTCCAGCATAATAAAGTGAATGTATGTCTATCTTTACTTAGGATGAATCCGGAGCAACCTTCAAGTCAAACAGCACAATACAAAAACTGCACATACCTCAAGAAATTGTTATTTCAATCCTGAATGAATCAAATCTTAGAAAAGTATCTGAAATTTAATTGATGTTTGAAGAACATATTAGGAAGGTTTGGCTTGAAATAGTCTATGTAATATATTGCAATGAATAATCAAGAAAAAGTAAATCAATATAACTTTATTGGTAATTTATTGAATTTCATAAGCTTCCAAATGATTAGAAAAACTCGTATATGATTGAAGGAAACTTATCCTCATTTTTAGAGTCGCGAGACTTTGATTAAAAGCCTCACTCTGATACCAATTTTTGGGTGAGAATATAAACATTGATATGTCTAGAATGGGGGTTGAATAGACCTTTTCCCAATTAGACATTTTAAAAAATAGTTTTAGATCCCATGTACGAAATCTAAGATTTTAAGAGGAACATAGCAAAATAAAATACAAGAGATCTTGTAAGCATCTGATTCACACACAAGAAATTGATTAATCGTGAAGATACACAAGATTAATTAACTCCCTCTCTAATTCAATCAAACACAACAACAAATTGCACAAGAACAAGATGGGACAAAAAGAATGAATTCAATCATGAATTCATGATGAAGAAGTTGTAATGGTGAAGAAGAGAAAGAATTATGATGATTGAGATAGACACTTCTAGCAGTAAAAAGTTGAGACTAAGTCATTGTTTGACTAACTCAAAAAGTTAATGTCGCCACCGCATTTTATTATTTCCAAATGGAAATGGGAAAAAAGTGAATAAAACCCAAAATAAAATAGAGATCGATGTAAGGGGATTGGTTATGAAAAAGGAATGTATTAGCACCATAAACATCTATGGTACATCACGGGAACGTATTTGACAATCCGTGTATTTTGGCTAAAATGGTTGTTTTTAAAAAAAGGTCTGAAAAGGATAAAGGAAAAGGAAAAAGTATTTTTTATGATTTTTTATTTGACAAAGCTTCCAATGAGCTATGGGCCTAAATACCAACAATGTGCAATGTTGAAATCAAAATCGGCGTAGTTCGGGTAAAAAAAGTTTGAAAGTTTGTGTTGTTGGTTAATTTTAGGAGAAAAGATTTTAAAAATGCAAAAGCCAAAGTGGCAAAAGTGTTTGAATTTGTTTTTTGTATTTTTTAAGTATTAAAGAAAAAAATGTCATATCTTGATTAAAATTTATTAGTGGTTTGATTAATAAAAAAGAGTTTTGAAAATGCATGGACTTAAGTCTAAGTGTATTATGAAAGCGGTTCAAGTTTGAAAACAAGAAGATTTTTGAAAAAGAGGGAGAAGATTTGAAAATTAAAGAAGATGAGCAAGAGATGAAGAGACTATTCTAAAGCATAAAGTAAAAGCTAAGGTAGGAAAAGTCTAGCCATTTAAGAAGCCAACACTTGACATAATGAAGTCAATATAAGATTCTTATCCTTTGGATTAAAGAAACACAATGAAACATAAGATCCAAAAGGTCTCAAGGTCCATAAATATCAAGAGTGCTAATCCTATGTCCAAGATGTCCAAAACTCCAATATGCAAAGGATAATAACCCATAGTTCAATAAGACCCTTAAGTATTTTATTGTTCACGTTGATTATTAAGTATTTTCAAAAGAAAAATAAAGTTCCAGTGAGCAAAGATAAAATGACATAAAAAATAATGCTCAAGTGAGCAAAAGGAAAATAGCATGAGATGTAAAATGCTAAAGATAAAAGTGCATAAAGGTACAAATATAAAATAAAGACAAAAAATAAAGACATAAAGTAATGACATAAAGTAAAGTTAATAGTTAGTAAGTTAGAAGTTAATGGCCAAAGGTATGTGATCAATGATGATTGAATGATAATCTTGGACTAAAAATAATGAGAACTCATCAGAGGATTGATAAAATCAAAGCCTCATAACAACAAGTCTCATAAGTATTGCAACCAAAGACAACAAATCAATCATACTTGAACATGCAAACATAAAGTTTGAGCCACGAATGTTCATTTTCCGATTCGGGATAAATTTAGCGATATGGTAGAAACCATACTCCTAAAACATGTAGCACAAGTAAAAACCAAAAGTGATCAAGACATAAGTCATGAAGAATAATTCATCAATTATCCATTAGCTTGGATGAATTTGAAGTTCAAATTCCTTATCCAAATTGATCAAAAGAGGAAAATAAGAATGGGATGAAGTAGATATGACCAAGAAAATAAATCTCACGTTTGAATAAAATGATTAATCAAGTTATCATTAAAATCATTCATTCATTTTGGTGGATTTGGTCTTTTAACCTATCAACGCCAAGATCTAATGAGTTTAATGAAATTTATGATTAAAGAACATATGACCCAAGATCAGCCAAAATATATACAAAAATAAAAGGGCAAGAAAAATAAGAAACTAATATTTTTTTAAAATGAGATTAAATGGAAATAAAAGAAAAACATGAAACTACATTCAAAATTTTAAGTAAATTGCAACTAAGGTCATGGAAAAATCAGAAATACTTCAACATATATTCACAAATTTTTTCATAATTTTAAAAGTCAGAAACTAATTTTAAAAATATAAAAAACAAGTAAAATAGATCAAAAATCATTAAAAAAATAGCAAAGTCAGAAATAAAAATCAAACATGGTCACCATAAGTTGTCAAACAATCATTGAATCTTTTCATATTTTTTTTTCAAAATTTTTAAAGTAAGAAAAGCATTTTTAACCAATTAAAAACAAATTAGAAAGTCAAAAATTATTAAAAATAGTAGAATAAAAAATAAATAAATAAATATGAATCAGAAAAATAACATTAAGAGAAGATTTTAGAAAAAAACTTTGGTATTTTTTTGGAATTAAAATGAAAGATATATTAATTTTTGAAGTTAAATGAATTTAAAATGAAAAATCGAAAAAAGAAACTAAATCAGAAAAAACATGGTGTGTTGGATCCATCTCACTTAAATACGCTGGCACATCTTATGGATGAGAGATGAGGGATCATGGTTGATTAGAGTCAAAACACACGCATGTGAACTACAGAAGTCAAGCCAGTAAAAACATTTCAAGTGGCGTTGTTTCATTACTTTAGAATGACGCGTAAGTCTTCTCCAATCTCCAACCAACATGCAACTAGGGAAAACTGATGATCTCGAAATCTGTAAAATTAGACGCTCATAGTGGTATCATTAGATGTATCTCTTCAAGATGATCTCAACCATATACTAGCAAAAAAATTATATTAATCATAACTCAGTCGATTTGAGAAAAAACCAGAAGGATTTTAAAATTGAATTTCAAAAATAGACATAGTAAACACATTAATTGATGAAAACTAATGATACCTCAAGCATCAGTGAGTCAAGGGCATCATAATAGTCACAAATGTGAGTTGATTTGGTGAAGAAATCTACATGTTGAAGTTTGGTTCTAAAGCTCGGAAGATGGAGTTAGTGAGCTTGATTCAGGGCACGATTTTTCTTGTTCTTGAGTTGGTTAGCTTCACTGATAGTTGGTGAAGCTAATTGAGCGAAGCCTTTGAGTGATTAGGGTATGGAAATGAAAAAAACGAAATTCAAGTTCAAGAGTTCATATGGGATCTTGGCAGAGTGGTTTTGACTATGTTTTGTGTAAACGAGTGAAAGATAGTCCTTATTTATAGTTGAGGGTGATGCAAGGCTCAAACATGTGAGAATGATCCAGAATTATGGAATTTGTGTGAAGCTTGAAAGTGAGAAAAATGTGACATCCAATCCCTCAAAACTTGACTCTGTTAACGAACGTTAGCCAGAGGGACCAAAAGTGTGAATGGAAAATTTTAGAGAGATCATTCTTTAAAGAAAAATTTTAGAGGGACTAAAATTAAAAATAATTTTATTTATGAGGACCAATAACATATTTAAACCAACATGAAATTATCATTTTTCTTTATTTATTTTTATTTCATTTAGTATGACCGTTTGATTCAATTCTATTAACGGTTGAGATTTAGTCTAAGACTTTTAAACTTACACCTGATTTCAACGCATCCTGACTATAATAAATCTTGTATATTTTAGAGAAAAAGTTGAAAAAAAATCATTAAATTGGATTGGTTAATATTAGGATTAAGTTTATTTCTTAAAATGAAACAAATCAATTAGAATTAATATTAGGATTAGTTTTTATAATTAAAAAACCTTCTTGATTTGGATTACTATGCAAAATAATAAACAATTAAGCTTCGTATTTTTAAGCAATGTTAAAAATACTTGTTATCTTTCTTTAGTCAGATTAATTTACATTGTTTGTAAAAAAAAATTATGAAAGGAATTTTTTTATTAAAATAAATTCTTTGTTTAAAAATAAAGGTTATATTTGATGAAATTTAACACTAAGATTTAACACTAGAAAAACTGAATTAATAACTAATAATATGAGATATTCTACGTAACTTTTTTCACAAATATTAATCGTGTTAGTTTTTATCGGCAGAAAAATTCAAATCGTGTTAGCTATTATTAATGGTGTTAGTTTTTATCCGTAGAAAAAATCAAATCATGTTAATTATTAATGACATAATCTACCTGTTTAAAACAAACATTTAGTTTTGATGCCTTTATCATGTTTTTTCGGATATTTCTGTTAAATAAAATCTTAAAACAAATTGAGATTTTTTTTTTTAAGTAGTTTTAAACCTACTTACTCTTTCAAGTTTTTGCCTATAAAAACATTGTATCGCAAACAAATTAATAAAACACAACCAATTATTTCTTGCTCTAAAACTTTGATCAAATCATTCATGGATTCCTCCTTAAACACACTCTCATTGAATGATTGCTGCACCATCTATATTCACTACACTCACTTAACTATTTCTTCTACATCCAATGACCCAAATAACCTTATTTTTAAATTAATAACACCCATCTTCAACAAATTCGAGATTCCTCTCGAAACATTATACAACAATACTCATATTAACAACCAATCTTTACTCGAAACCTTTCATGCCATACCTAGTTCTGTAATTGACACGGTTCTACGTGGTTTGAGAGATTTCGCTACAAGAATAATCCTACATGGAAAATCGGAGGAGATGCATATATTGCTACGAAGGGTTAGTTCACGCATAGGACAACAAGATCAACTTGATCAAAATGATCAACAAATTGTGGGTTTATCATCAAACGTGAATGTTGATATTACTTCAACTTCTAAGGATCAATGTTCGATTTGTTTCGAAGAGTTTTGCGACGGATCGCAAATTTATCTCTTTTATACAAAATGCTCTCATGTTTTTCATAAAGAATGTATTGCTGAATGGATCTTTAAATGCATGAGTCGTGCACGCATTTATACTTGTCCATTGTGCAGAGGTGAGATGATGTGAATTGAGATGATGTATTTTTATTTTTATGAGTAAAATATTGAACTTAGTTTGCCTTGATTTTTTTTACGTATTTAAAATTTTCCATTCGAATACAATAACTTTAAATTTTTTGTCAAAATTTCTTTAAGTGACTTTGTATTCATATTATGAAATGTTTATTGATTCCTTGTTTATTAAAAAATGTATCTTTATCTATTATTATTTGATGCAGTAGGTTCAAATTTCACCTTTCTTAATTGAAGATGATATAGAGGAATAATAACTCAAAACAAATCAATTAATGTACCGAATATTATTGGATTTGATTTTGGTTGGAGGTGATGGCAAAACATTTGGAATGAACTATATTACACTATATTAGTTTTTATTTTTATTTTTTTAATTTAAAAATTAATTAATTTTTTAAATTAATTTTTATTAAAAATACCGATACCTAACAACTTATTATGGTTACCTAAAAATTTGCCTTATAGTTCACAATATTAGTTTGTTTTGGGTTTTGTTACAATTTTTTAAATTAAATTAAGATAATGTTAGTGTTTTTTTATTAGTATTTAGTTGATCTAGATTATAAACTCAAATTAAAAAAAATAATTTATTAAGTTTAAATTAAAAAAAAAACGAATACTTCCGTATTATCTTCCTTAATTTTAAAAGGACTTCTTGTGTTCTTTTTTTAAAAATAAATATTAATTTAGTCTTAAATCAAATATTATTTTGAAAATCGCACACATAAATAAATTTAATTAGTTTAATATAAAAATATATTTTTAATTATTTAAAAATATATTTTATTATTCAAATGAGAAATAAATAAATAATTAAATTTAAATAAAAAATATATTTGTATAGTCACAAAGGACCCTGAAGATGCGACATTGAGATCCTTTCAAACCAATCGTCTCTTGATTTCTATAGTTATTGTAGGGTTATGTCTGATTTTTAAATTGAACATTGAGGAGAACATCTGACTAATGGTGTGATCCTCTTGCCTGCCTCTAAGTAAAAAAAATGGTTTGAGGTAGACGTGAGAGGGGGCTTCACTTCTTGCACTCTAGAGTAGCTACCTACCAAGAGGAGGTGAGTTTAGATCACCACTTTCACGATTGAGTTTTCTTGCTTGCACCTTAGTTCATGCTCTTTTTGAATTCAACGGAGGAGATGAGATGTCAGCATCAGGAGGAGAATTTGAAGTAGAAGATTGTCTCATGTCTCTTCCCTTTGTTTTGTTTTTCAAATCTTCCTTTGTACCTGATGTTGAGTATTATCAAATGAAAGTATTATTTTATCGTATCCGCAAGGATTGGAGCGATATCAAAACCATTCAACAATTTTTTATTATTCTAAGCATAAGTTTCACGATTTGTTTGGTTTATAAGTGACGGAAAGTAAAATACGTAAAATAACAAAAGATAAGATTCATAGGAATAGACTTGTTGGGAATTGGTTTTCATTCACTGATTCAATATGAACATCTAAAATCTGTTATACGCAGTCTATGCTTGTTTCATTATCATCACGTATAAGCTCATGTCTAAACTTTGATGCGATTTCTACCTTATGGTTTAATCGATGATTTCTCAGCCTATTAAACAATACGGTCGCATTAAGATTTGATACTTCAGTGAATATTAAACTTAAATCTATGTCTAGCATTTAGAGTTTAATAGTTGTTATCTTGGATCGAGATTAGAACCATATTTGTCAATATTAATTTAATCCATGAAATAAACAGTAAAATAAAGATAACAATGATAATGATTCAAACATAAATTGCATATAACACCATGATCAAAGTAAATACATATTGTTTAGTTGAACTATGACCAATCCCGACAAGAGAGGGATTTAGCTACTCATGGTAGCTTGAAGCACAATGGAAGATTTAAGTTGAACCAACATCAATGACGATTTCCCGACTCTTGATGCGAATCCTACTCTTCTACCTAAAACCTCTTATATTCCTACTTCATTTACTATTACAGATGATAATATATGATACTATCATAATAAAAACTGGAATGCCCTGCGAAACTGAGTTGTTGTCCTATTTATAGTTATTCTGGCCGCCTGAGTTCGCTAAGCGATGTCCTTGCTTCTGAGATAAGTTTTCAAATAAACTTGGCAAACATGAGATCGCTAAAGTTCTCTAAGCGAAGTTTGGCTAGCTTAGAAAAGTTGATTTCTTTTTCCTTAAGCATTTTCAAATATGTTCCATAAACCGCGAAAGTTCGCTAAGCGGGGTGAGGCTCTCTTAGCGAAGTTTCTTTCTTTAGCCTGAAGTCTTCAAAATATCTTTCTTTGACCGCCCTGTTTCGCTAAGCAAAGACCCAATTTGCTAAGCGAACTGCTTCGCTTCTCCTCGCTGCTGGCGAAACTTGTTGATTTGCTTCTGTCTTGTGTTTGCTACGTAAACTATTCCTCGATAAGCGAATTGGTCTTTTAGCTACAGCTCGCTTAGCAAAGTGTCTGATAGCTGGTTTTTGCTTTAGGGACCAAATCCTGCACAAAATAAACCAAACCAAGTAAACTTGCATAGTAACATTAATATTTAATATTTGACGTTTTTAAGTTATAATCTTGACATTTAAGTAAGATAAATTCTATGTTTTAATAGGATATTTTAACATGATTTAAGCATTTATCAAACTCTCCCCAACTTAAATTTTGTTTGTCATCAATCAAATCAAATCAAAAGCAAGAGTTTATATACCATTATTCACATGATCAATAAAATTTAGTAATGAAGTAATCAAGGCACATGGTTTTTGAAGTTGCACATCCAAGTGTTGATGCATAATTACTTTCGGTAGTATTTAGGCATATTCACGAAATACGCCTTCCACATAAAATTCATGTCAAACAATCCAAAGAAATAAACATTTTAGTCATGAATCACACCTATCACACTTTTTTGTATAAGTGAAAATGATGAGGTATTTTGATCTCTCAATGACAAAACTTGCTAACATCTTGATTGATTCATGCATTCATATAAGCAAAATATGTTGACATGTAAAGACAAAGATCACTAAGCTATTTTCATGGTTGTAATTTAGGCCAAGGTACCAAATAAGTGTTATTTCCTATGACTAATGGAAACAAATGGTTTGTTTGATTTTTCTTTGAAGTGCATTCATGAACAATTGATTCTTTTGTCTCAAATTACTTATCCAAACCTTTTATTGTTTCTTTCTTTTTGAACACATTCATCTTTGTTATTCCTTGTTCTTTTTTTTTTTAACTTTTCTTTTTCTTTCATTTTCTTTTGATTCTTACCACTTTCCATTTTTTCTTTTGAACTAAACCACTTTATTTTCCTCCCCAACTTGAACAAAACTTTACTTCTCTTTGAATGCTCTTCAAAATTTTGCACAACATATCAATGGTTTCAAGGTTCAACACAAGAAAAATAGAATCTATTAATTATTAAATTTTATGATTTTTCAAAGATATGGAATAATATTCATTAAGTGGTTTACTTTATTCATTATTCAGTTCATAACTGATGTATTCATGTCATATGGATAAAAAAGCGGTTGCAAATGATCACTTACTCACAAGGACTAATGAGGCGATATTTTGGTTTACTAGTTATGCTCAAATTCAAAGAAATTCCTTGATCCCTTCTATGTATTTGCAATGATAAACATAAATTCAAGATTAAGCATGAATCAAACGAGTTAAAACAAGTATTTGTCAGTTTCCTAAGCATATGGTGAACCATGGAAGGCTGCCTCACTTTTTCTAGTTTTGGAACTAAGTGATTCATAATGAAAATATGTTATTGCTTAGGATGAATGAGTTGATTTTATGCATATTACTCATGTTATATTCATGCTAAACCTTAATAAAGAAATAAACATGTGCCTTGGTTTGTGAAATTCTTTCAAAGTTGTGTCATTTTACCCTTGTGTATTTGATTCATGTGAATTCTGATCTTCCACTCCTTGCCTTTTCGTCTCATTTCAGAGGACAAAAGAATAAAAAGGATTTAGGATTTGGACACAGGACACTTACAACTAAATACTTAAACTAAACACATAGAACTTGAAATTGAAGAAACTGGCATGATTAGAATTTTTGCTGATTATGCTATTTTCGCTTAGCGAAACAGGGCTCGCTTAGCGAACTCTGCAAAATTCATTTTTTCTGTGGAATTTTCTTTGTGATATGTCATGCCATTTCTTCCTGCTAATTGACTAAGTATGGAATATAAATAAAGTAAACATGTAAAAGGTTGGGTTACCTCCCAACAAGTGCTCGTTTAACGTCATTAGCTCGACGCCTGTGTTAGGGTGGTTTATATGAATTCTTCAAAGCATCATCATTTGGAATTGATTTGATATTTATCCTCTTTAATTTTAGGCCTATTTCATCATAATTTTCAGCCTTGGAGTGATCTTCCTTGTTGTTTAACATTGTTGTAGGCTCTATATCTAGATTACTAATCTTTTCAAGGAAGGACAACATAAGAAGATTGGTGCTTGAATCAAGTTCAATCAAAGTTTTATCCAATTTGATATTTTCAATGATAACTGGTAAAGTAGCGCTTTCAGGATCAACATTGTTTTCTTCCTCCTTTTTCTCAATTTAATTCATTGCAAAATATCATCTCAAAATTCAATCATATTTCATTATTGTGTTGTTCCTGTTTCATAGGAAATCGACCCTTAAACAATTCTTATTTGATTCACCTTATGCCCCAAAATATTCAATTTTATACGAGAGATCCTTATAATTTAATACAGTAATGTGAATAAAATTAAATTATTTTAGCATATTTACGATCAATAAGGTTAAATATCTCATTTTGTCTCTTGAAAATATGTTAGAAGTAATTCATATTCAAAAGTATGTGTGTTAGTCATAAGCATAAGTTTTTGAGGTTGTGTCTCAGAAGTATGTTTAGCTTCTGGGGTCCTAGTTTGTTTTAGCTTAGCTATTAAGCATACTTTGGTTAGGGCCTACGTGGCAGTTTATTTTGTGTATATAGACAA